CACACACACACACACACACACACACACACACACACACACACACACACTTATTGAAGATAGAGCAGCCCAAAAACTACATAGGATGTCTTCAGCTCTGGAGATACCAGGTATTTTGGTTCTCTAATGGCTTCTGAGGGTCCCTGTAAACACTCCAAAGGAACTGATTATTACAACTGGACCCAGGTAGTCCAAAATGATGAGTGTGAGGATAGCTCTACTGGTCAGTATGATGCCAGTGAGGGCCAGGCACATGCTCACATTTGCTGATATAGCCCCTTGGCAAGCTTACCAATGGCCCAGGGATGGAATGTTGTTTTCTCCCGGGGGATAATCAACTCCTTGGAAATAGCAGGGGCACTGGCTCCTTTGGAAATGAAGAGCAGAGAAACAAGAGTTAGTGAGAGAAATCAGAATCCCCAAAGCTCTTGACAGGCAGGGACAATGCAAAATTCCAGCCTGTTGAACATTCATGAAAGATTAAATTTAATGGGAATAAACCTCCTTCCTTAGCTTTTGTGATTCTTTCTGCTCCCTTCTGATTCTCCTACCTAGCAGAGCAGTCCTTCTTAGTCTCCTCTGCTGGTTCATCATCCATCTTCTGCTCCCTATACATGAGTGTCCTGGGGGGCCCTTAATTCTACAATTTGAAATAGTCTTGCTAAAGCAAAGGTCTGACCATGTAACCCTTCTGCTAAAGAGTCTTCACAAAGGCCTCTTATTGCCTCCAATATATAATGCAAACTCCTCAGCTGGCTTGATAAGGCCTTCCAACTTTCTTTTCCAATTTTATTACATATTACTACTCTTACCCTTCACACATGCTATTTGTCAGCCAAACTGGACTACCAGCTACTCCCCAAAGTTAACATTCAATCTCCCACCTCCATGTATTTGTACAAGCTGTCTCCTATGCCTGGAATGCATTCCCTCAGGAGTTATTTTCTCTGTGATGTTTTTCCCAATCCAATTGTTGATGTCTCTCCCTCCACAAGTCACCTTGTACTTACTTATCTGTGTATATATTATATCTCCAGTAGAATATTTGCTATTTAGAGATAAAGCCTGTTTCATTTTTTTAAATACAACAGTAGAAGTTAGGGAATGGGGAAACACAAATAGACACTAATCCACAAGAGAAAGATCTGAAGGTTTTAGTGGACCACAAGCAGGTGTGCTGGAGCCAGCTCATTCTGGCTCATAAGAGCCTGTTGTTAAATTTTTGGTATGAGCATTTCCACCTGAGAAATTGGCAAATGCTACAAATTAGGGCTTGATTTATCATCTCTTATCTGGAGTTCCAACTCTAGACTCAAGAAAGTAATGGAGAAAATTTTAAAACTGCAGATTCAACTTAAAAGTATTTCATGCGTTTTCAGAGAGCTGGTTGTTAAACATTTACCAGTATACCAAATACTACAAGCTATGACTCAACAATATGGCAAGGTTGCTAAAAAGTGTGTACCCATAAATATATACATATATGCACATATATACATATACATATATACACCTATAGATACATATATAAACATACACATACATATATATGCCAATATTTATATATATATGTATTTCTCTCTATGAAATCATCCCAAGCTACTCTAGCTCACAGAATCATAGAATCCAAGAATACAGTGTATTGTTATTACACTCTGTTCTTGGACTCTATGATTCTGTGAGCTAGAGTGGCTTGGGATGATTTCATAGAAAGAAAGGAATTTGAATTGTAGAGGATGGGCAGGATTTGCCTATGTAGTGGAGAGATGGAAAGTACACCAGGGAGGAGGAATGATGGAAGCAAAAGCATGGAGATAGGAAAACATTTAATAAGTTCAAGAAGCAGTAAAGTAGGTCAGGTTGGCTGGTGCATGTTTCAGGAAGGTAGAGATTTAGAAATAAGAAAATCATAGATTGTGGGGTGCCCTGAATGTCAGTATAAGGGGAAGATAGAACGGTATCTCCTTGAAAGTAGAAATTGTTTCATTCTCTATATCTTCACATGGTGCCTGGCATTTGTTGATTGACCATTGATTAATTTCATGTTTGCATTTATTAAGTATCTATCCAATTGAATCCAAATGGGGTGATCAATTATGCCAAATAAGACCAATAGGTCAAAGAAGTGATGGTTAAGAATGAGTCATTGGATTTGGCTAATAATAGGTCAATGATGGCCTTAGAAGAAGCATTTTCAGTTGACTGTTAGAGGCAGATCCTAGATAATTGGCATTTAAGACTGTACATATTATGAAAATAATAGATACAGTGGTAATAGCAGATATCTGCCAAAGGCATACATAGATATCCAGTCCATGAAGTATCAGGACCTGGAGTAAAGTAGACCCAGGTTTAATTCCTACCTCATTTTCTAAATGCGTGACCCTAAGCAAGTCACTTAATCTCTCTCAGACTCAGTTTCCTCATCTGTAAAATGGGAATATAATAGCACCTACCTTACATGATTTTTGCGAGGATCAAAAGAGACAATATAGGTAAAATACTTTGTAACCTTAAAGCACTGTATAAACGCTAGGAATTATTATGATTATTATCTTGAGAAGGAGTCCAATGAGGAAGTTGACCTAATTCCTTCCCTTCCCCCTGCAGTGATGAGAATCTTTACTCATAATATGAAAGTGGGAGGAAAATATCCAGGCAAGACTTACAAAACCTGAGGGTCAAATGAATTTCTGGGGTAGGGGATGAGAGGCTGTGCTGTGCTGGAGTCTGAATGTCTCCCTACCTGGGGACGCATCTCTCTGCCTTGCTGTCCAGGTAGGTGTCAGGAGGGCAGGCACAGCCCTCTACACAGTGGTCCTCTTCATCACTACAGCTTTCTGGCATGGCCAGGGCCTGGCAGGTCTGCCCACAGGTTGCCACACAAGGGCTATATTCCTTAGTGGCCTCACAGGACAGTGCTATAGGAAAGAAAGGCAGTCAGGTCACAGATCAGGAAAGGTAGTTCCAATGTGCCCCCATCCCACACTTGCATGCACATTTCCCCTTTAATCTGAGGCAAAGAGTGAGGCACTGAATAAGGGAAAACAAGTGGGCCAACCCCATGAAGAATCATAACAGTAAGTTAGGGGGATGTCTACCCCAAGTATGAGGAAATTTTCCCTGGCAGAATGATTCCCTGGATGAGAACAATTTGTTCTGATGGCTGTGAAGGCAGCTGAAGCAGGCATCAAAGATACCAAGGTCATCCACTGCATCCTGAGCCATAGCCAATCATCTTGACTTTTAGGCTGCCATTGGACTTCGATGACTCAGGAAGAGAGTGAGGCTGACAACTTTGAGGAACTCTGCCTCACTTAAATCCAATTCACTCACATGTCATCACTTCTTCAAAAATGAAGGACAAACAACAACCACCTCTTGTAATAGTAGTAGTAGTAGTAGTACTAGTAGTAGTAGCAGCAGCAGCAGCAGTAGTAGTAGTAGTAGTAGTTGTAGTAGTAGTAGTAGTAGTAGTAGTAGTAGTGGTGGTGGTGGTGGTGGTGGTGGTGATGGCAGTAGTAGCAATAAACATTTATATACTGCTTTAAGGTTTAAAGTACTTAACATATGGTATCTCATTTGATCATCACACAACCCTATGAGGTAGGTGCTATTATCATCCTCATTTTACCTATAAGGAAACTGAGTCAGGCAGCGGTTAAGTGACCAGTCCAGGGACACACAGGGATAGTGTGGAAGGGGATGGGGCAGTGAAATAGATAGGCTTCCCCCCTTTCTTAGGCATTGACATTAAGGTCAGAACAAGAAAAAGCAGTTGTGAGATCTGGGATGGAAAGAGTATCCATCATCTCAGCGTGGGTAATTTGACAGGCTGTGTTCTTCATCTCCTTCTCAGGCTGCCTGTGTGGAACAGCTTTTCCCGGTCAAGGTTACCTTCAATAGTCATTTTAAACTGATTTCATTGAGATAAATATGTTTGCTAGGATAGAGCGGAGGTAAGAGAAGGAGAATGTCAAATCATGCCGACCCCATAGGGTGACCCCAGCCCGCTGGGATGATTGGCCATGCATACAAACTATACCCAACCACACTCACAGACCCATCCCATGCAAGCACAAAGCTGGGTCACACACAGGTTTTACTCACCACAGTCTGGGAGCTGGGTACGAAAGTCAATGCTAACTCCATGGCTGCGACACAGATGAGTGTAGTGAGCCAGCGTGGAGCACATGCACATGTGTCCACACCTGCAGGCATCCCTGCGGCACTGTTCATAGTAGGGGATGGGGCTCAGATAAGGGGAACAGGGTACAAACAGATCCTTGGTGAGCACACTACATGCCTCGGCTGCATAGGATGCTAGAAGGACACAACAGGGAGGGGTTCTGGGGTCTCTGGCCTCACCACAGAACCAAAGAACATTAGAGCCCAGGGGAACTGCAGAGACCATTATACTCCTACCTCTTACTCCCCCCATTTTTTTCAGATTTTATTAATTTATTTATTTTTAGTTTTCAACATTCACTTCCACAAGATTTTGAGTTCCAAATTTTCTCCTCATCTCATCCCTCCCCCACCCCCAAGACGGTGTGCATTCTGAACATCCCTTCCCCTAATCTGCCCTCCCCTCTATCTCTCCCACCCTTCTCTTATCCCCTTCCCTTTCAGTTTTCCTGTAGGGCAGGATAGATTTCTATACCCCATTGCCTATATATCTTATTTTCCAGTTGCATGTGAAAACAATTTTTAACATTTGTTTTTAAAACTTTGGGTTCCAAATTTTCTCCCTTCCTCCCTCCCCACCCATCCTCATTAAGAAGGCAAGCAACTCGATACAGGTTATACATGTGTAGACATGCAAAACACTTCCATAGTAGTCATATTGTGAAAAATTAACTATATTTCCCTTAATCCTATCCCACCCCCATTTATTCTATTCTCTCTTTTGACCTTGTCCCTCCTTAGAAGTGTTTGCTTCTGATTACCCCCTCCTCCAATCTGCCCTCCCCTCTATCATCCCCCTGATTTCTTGTCCCCTTCCTCCTCTATTTTCCTGTAGGTCTTACCCCGTCATTTTGCAGAAGACTAAATGGCAGGAAGGACTTGCCCAGGTGCAGAAAGAAGAGCTAGGACCAGAACCCATGCTTTCTGGCTCCCAGTCCAGCAAACCACATTACCTTGATATTAGCCATAGAACCATTTCTAGCACCTGACCCCCATAGTCTATGGTCCATCCCCATGCCCCACTCCTGATCAGAAGGCAAGTCATTTTGCCTCCCTAATCTCTGGGCTGTCCATCACTGTTAATGGGATAGCTGTGTCTGGTTCCCTATCCAGCCTTTCTCTTTCTCCTCTGCCCTCCATTTCTTGCCTCCCCACTCTTTCCTTCTATGTCTTCTTGCCCTCATCTTTACCAGACCCTCTCTTCCCCTACCTGTTGCAAGCCACAATTTCCTGACATCCCTGGCCCAATCCCAAAGCTCCCACTCCAGCTGCCTCTCACTGAACCTCTGCCCAGTCCCCAAGCTCTACTGAACCCCAAATGATCTCACTCACCAGCCTGCAGGTGTACATCACAGGGATCCAGAGGGGCACTAGAGATGCCTGGTGAGCAGGCTGATAGTGTTTTCCAGGAATTGCCAAAGAGCTGTGGGGTACTCTCTGGAACACCCACCGGGGACCTGCAGAGAGCCAAGGAACAGGTTTTGCAAATGCATAGTCATACAAAAGCATGCCATGACTCAAAGTCTGAGTTCAGGACTCATCCTACCCAGAATTCTCTTGATTCTCCATGTAGGGAGAGAAGCCCAGCAGACTTTGGTCTTAGGCTTATGTGATCACAAATCAAATTAAGAGCAAGAGTGTTCAAAGGAGAGGGGTATTTGTTCCACCATCCTCTGCCCTGGTCAGACCACATCCATAGTACTGTTCTCAGCTTGGGCTGAGTGTGCTGACCATGTGGAAAACATTGAGAAAAGGGAGGTTACAATGACAAAATCCTTAGGGACTGTGCCATACAAGAACTGACCACAGGCACGGGGGCTATTTAGACTGGTGAAGATTTGGTGGAATTGGACAAGACAAGGGGCTTTTGGGTATTTGAAGGACAGTGACCTGGGAAGGTGCTTGGAATTATTCTACTTGGCCCCAGAGGCCAGAGGGCACAAATGGACAGAGATTGAGAGGAAAACCTCCCTAACAATCAGAGCTGGCTCAAGAGTTAGTTGGTTTGCCTTCAGTGGAAGACATACAATCCAGGATCATCCATTTAGAGCTGGTAGGGACCTTAGAGGTCATTGAATACAACCCCCTCATTTAACAGAAGAAGAAATTGAGGCACAGAGACTCAGTCAGGGCAACACAGTTAGCAAGTGCCTGAGGTGGGGAGTTGAATTTGGGTCATCTTGACTCTCAGGTCCAATGCTCTATTCATTACTCTGTGCTGCCTCCCTTCAAGCAGAGGCTGGGTGGGTGGCCACTTTGGGGATGCCATAGAAGAGTTCTCTCATTCAAGTGTGGCTAGATGGATGGATGAAGAATGAAGAAAGCAGGACCAAGAGATCATTATCTATACGTAAGATCCCTTCTGCCTCTGAAATCCTGTGGCCAGCCCCATATTTCATTGTTGCTTAAAACTCCCATTTCCTTTTGGCCTAATGAGCTAGTTTGGGAAACCTTTTGACTTCCATTCCCTTTTTTTTCTGAACAGAAAGTCGCTATAATGATTTTTATAATAGACTCTTTTATCTGAGTCACCACATTTCAACCAGAACATAATAAACTCTGACTTTCTAGATGAGGAAGTAAAGTCACTATAAAAAATTCCCCTTTCCTTTGCAGAGAGGAGAGGAATGGAGAGGAAGAGGTAAGGAGTGAAGGGGAGAAAGAAAAGCGGGAGGCCTGGGTCTTGAGCCCTGAGACTGCCAAGAGCAGGGTAGGGAGGAACATTTCCAGCCAATCTTCTTAGCATCTAGCTTCTAGGCATCTCTTACAGCTACAAATCCTATATCACCCCTAGGGTACTTCCCACCTTCAATCTATTCCTGAGACATGGATCCCAGTTACCTGTCAACAAGTTCCACTGAAGAGACAGTGACTGCTAATTATACACAACTATCAACCTTAATACTTGGGAATATTTAGATATTTAAGGGAACATTAGAGAGTATTCAGGGATTGAAAAGCATCTGCCTGGGTGATTGCAAAAGGATGAAGCTCTAATGGCAGCATTCCAGGCACCATGATGGGCTATGGGAAAACATTTGGGGGCAGGGAGAGCTTTCTGTTATCCCTCACAGCATCTTGGCAAACTCTGGGCACCCTTGATTGTCCTATCCCCTCCCCACAAATTGTACCCTCTTTCTCCCCTGCTCCCGTCCCCAATCCTATGGGATCACTGCCTACAAGAAGTCATCCTGCATGTTCCCATTGAAGGTCCCACAGAGCCCCACGGTGTCATCCTTCCATCTCTGGTCCACCTGGATATAGAGACGCAGCCCCTCCCGGTCATACAGCACCCGCACCCCAACAGAGGTCCGCACACGCAGAAACACGGATGACAGCTTCCGGATCTCAAAGGCATCTGGGAGAAACAAGTGTGGTCAGGGGTGGAAAAAGGACTTCACGGAGCAAGGCTAGCACCCTCCCCCACCTACAAGGCTCCACCCAAATGCTAAGCCCAGCCTGGTTTGGTAGAGCCCAGAGATAAATCCATTCCAGTACAAATACTAGGCTACGGCAGTAACTCCATTACAAAGGTATAGGGCATAACCCCACTTTAACGCTGATAGTGGGGACCATCTGAAACACCTGCTATTAGAATTGTTCTGTGCCCCATTTTCCTCATCCAGAAGAAATGTAAACTATTAGGGAATTAATTAATCATAAAGTGTTTGAAATAACCTTATTATAACACTTCTGTTGATATGATCAGCACATTATACAGTTGCAAATTACTCTAAATGCAGTGTTTTATTCTCCCCAAAGCCCTAGTAGAAATATTATTGTCCCTATTTTATGGAGGATTAAATGAAGGTTGAGAGGAGTGAGATGACATTTCCATGGTCACATAGCTGAGATTTGAATGCAGATCCTCCTACTCCAAGTTCAGTTCTCAGTTATACTCTAATAACACTGTTCTGAGGATCAAGAATAAGCCAGTAATAGGGTTGGTATCTGGAAAGTCCTTATTCCCTTAGAAGTCTGCAGGCAGAAGTTAAATGACCAGAGATTACCTAGGATGTAATAGAAGCTATTCTTGGTCAGAGCTAAATTGGACTAAATAGTTTCTGACTTCCCTTCCAAATCTGGGATTCCATGGATGGAGCTAACATCCACATCACATCGGGGACATATACTATGTTGCCATTGGCATGGGTACTAACTCTTATGTCTAAAGGGTGTGATAATGGTGACAAATGGCCCTGACAGAGCCCAAGAAATCTAGGGTACCTGGCACTTCCCACCTGCCCTTCCCCATCTTACCATCTGTGTAAGGCAAGGTGACTTTGTACCGACCAGACATGAGAACGTCTCCTGTCTGAGTCAGGGTCACCTGTCTCCGGAGCATCTGGTTCAGAATCACAGTCACTGACTGAATACAGGCCCCATCCTGGTTCTGGAAACAAAGGCAAGGAGGGGTCAGGGGGCCAGTCACATAGAAGCCAGGCGGAAAAGGAGATCCACTCACTCAGTGGATCTCAGTCCTCTCTAGGTTTTCTCCTTCTACCCTCTCTGCCTCAAGCTGTCGCAAAGGAGATGCCTTTTATATCCCGATTACTATCAGTTCACGTCTAGCCTCAGTGTGCATGCCCCTTTAGTGCAGCAGGACTGAGGTTGAGTATTCCCTTAATGGACCTTCTAGCTCTTATCACCACACATACATGACATATGAAGCCATAACCACACAACTCCTACCACCAAGATTCATTTCTTCACAGGACCCCAGAAGACATTGGCTAAAGCAAGATCCCATACCCCACTAGCCAGAAACAGAATAGTGAAATCATAATATATCAGTGAAGCGCAGCTATGATCATGGTGTATAGAGAGCTGACCTTAGAGTCAAGAAGTCCCGGGTTCAGGTCCTGCTTCTGACAGCCATTGGCTGTGTGACCCAGGGCAAGTCATGTAACTTCTCAGTGCTCTAGACAACTCTTTAAAATTCCAAATTGCAGAGCACTTGCCAATCTACATCAGTGGAGGGAATTTCCTCAAGGTGGAATTCCCTACACAGACGAACTCACACATCCATCAATTAATTAATAAATCACATTTATTAATCATCTACTATGTGCCAGGTACTGTGCTAAGTGTTGGGGATACAAAAAGAGGCAAAAGACAGTCCCTGCTCTTCAGGAGTTTACAACCTAATGAGGGAGACAACATGTAAACAAATACATACAAAGCAAGCTATATACAGGATAAATGGGAGATTATTAACAGAGAGAAAGCATTGGAATTAAGAGGTGTTAGGGAAGGCTTCCAGTAGAAGGTGGGATTTTAGTTGGCACTTAAAGGAAGCCAGGAAGATCAGTAGTTGGAATGGACGACAACCAGGAAAAAATGCCCAGAGTCAAGAAAGGGAGTGGATTGTTTGTGGAACAGCCAGGAGACCAGTGTCACTGGATCAAAGAGTATGTGTCAAGGAGTAAGGTGTAAAAACATTGGAAGATGGAGGAAGGCTAGTCCTCCTACATAGATAGATGGTAGATCAGTAACAAGAAAGGACTTTAGAAACCATCTAGTATGGCCCTATAATTAAACACAAGAAGAAACTGAGAGCCAAAGAGTGAAGAAAAACTTGCCAAGGCCACATGACTGGCAAATAGTCCAGCTGGGATCAAACTACATGTCTCCTGACTCCCGATCTAACTTTTAAATGAGTTGCTTCTCCCAGCCCCTTTCTGAGTCAACCTCTAGCCCGGACCTGCCAACAACCCAGGATGGGATGTTCTCTCTGGTTCATTTAGGATAAATCTCAAAGCATCCAGGAGAACCTTTTCTAGGGGGAGGGTGTGTGTGTGTGTGTGTGTGTGTGTGTGTCTTTCAGACACAGAGAGCAAAAGCTAAGCATCATGGAGTCAACAGTCAGCTGCGAGAGGCAAGGTAACACAGTAGATAGAGAAGCAGCCTTGGAGACAGGGAGACCCGGGTTCAAGCCCCACCTTTGCCACACATTGCCTGTGGAACACAGGCAAATTGCTCAGACTCTCATGTGATCTAACTCAGTGCTCCCTGGTATCAAATTCAGATGAAAGTGGAGGCTACTGCAGTAACCACACATGTTACACCCATGTATGTGTATATATACTTGTATGTGTGTGTTTGTTTTTATAGACACATCACAATCAGATAGGAACTACATTTTGATCTAGTTTGGGCTTCACTCAGGAGTGTTCTGGGCTGTGCACCCCCATGCATACCCTATGTTGTGGGCCTCATGTTTGATACCTTTGCCCTAGATACCTCTCTAGGACTATAAATTACAGAGAAGATGCCAACCTGCATTGATAGAGGAAGTGTCTTCACCAGGAAGTTCCCAATGCCAATGAAATCATTGATCAAGTTTCTATCTCTACTTAATCATCTAATTCACACAAACTAGGCAAGGAGGGCTTAACCATTTGCCTGCTACCGTCACTGTACAAGAGACTGTTGACCTGTGCCATACTAACACCCTTGATTCAGCTAGTAATCCTAACTGAGGCTGAATATATGCTATTAAATTCATGAGTCTACATGGGAGGGGGAGGGGAGCTCAAAGGGAAGGGTTGTTTATACCTTCGTATCCCTAGCACAGTTCCTGGTACATACTAGGCATTCAATAAATACCGGTTGATTGATTGGTTATCACATAGCCCCCTACTGACAATTGTGAATACACCTGGCCAAATTTAATTCAAATAGAACTCCTAGGTATGGAGGCCAAGGTCAGACCTAACTAATCACATGCCATGTATCACAGTCCCAACTCCAGCTGGCTTGCTTATGAACTCCTGCCCTTGCTCACAAAGGGGATTGGGTGGAGGAGTGTGGATGATTCCAGGCACAACTCTTCCTTCAAGACACCTCAAGAGCCACCCTCAGTAAGGATCTTCCCCTCAGAGGTTGTCTTTTACCTACTCTGTGCGTATCTTGTGTGTACCTATTTATTTATCTATCATCTCCCTATTAGAATGTAAGTTCCTTGAGGGCAGGCTCTGTTTTTAACCTTTCTTTGTACCCCCAATGCTTAGCACAGTATCTGACACCACAGAGAGTAATTAATGAATTCTTGCTGACAGACTGAGTGCTGGAGATCCATGCACCATGATAAACAAACAGCTCAGCTCTGACATCTTCATCCACAAGGGCTGGTTCAGTGAGTTTTCAGGTACTCTTTGGAACTAGATGCTTCTGGAGCACCTTCAGACCTACAGGCTCCATCCCCAGAAGCCTGGGATAAAGGCACGGAGGGAGAGTACTACAAACTATTAATGAAGGAACCCCCTCCTTCACCCTAAAGCCTGGGCCTGAGAATTGCTTATTACATTTGGAGTCATTTACAAAATATCTTGCTGAAAGGTCCCAATGACATTTCACCACCCTTGCTGCCCGGGATCCCTTTTGTTAAACCAAAGTGTCTCCCCCGACAAAGGCCCTTTCATCTGTAACCTCATCTGGCACGGTACCACACATATGACAGTTGTCTATGAATGTCTATTATTAGCTCACGTTTCTCACATATTGCTTTGAGGTTTACGAAGCATCTTTCATCACAGTAGCTCAGGGATAGAGGAAGAGTCAGTCTTATGCCCATTTTCCACTGAAAAAGCTGAAACTCAGAGTGACTTGCCTATGATTGAATAGCTAGTAAGTGTCTGAGTCAGGATTTACTCTGAGGTCTCCTGACTCCAAGCCCAGTGCTCTACTTACTACCCCACACTGCCTCTCAAGGGGTTCAGTTGGTGGCTCAGCCACCAACTGAGCCCCTTGGAATAATATGGAATGAATATGGAATAATATGGAATGAAAAATCCTCCAGGGAAGTGGAATAGCCCAGTAGACAGAGCACTAGACCAAGAGACAGGATGCCTGGGCGTTCCACTTTGGCTGCCCACTCACTGTGGGACTACGAGCAAAGTAAGCTCTAGAACTCAGTATTGCCATTCTTGAAATGGGTAGGATAAGCAGACCCTTCCCCCCTCTTCACACAACTCAGATGCAGCGAAGAGCAGCACATTCACAAGTGAAAGTACTTTAAGCGTCTCAAGAGGATCCATTAGACGGTGAGCTCCTTGAGGGCAGGGACTGTCTTTTGCCATTCTTTGTATCCGCAGCACTTAGCACAGTGCGTGGCACATAGTAGGCACTTAATGAGTACTTATTGACTGACTGACATCTAACAGCAATCTAAGGTTTTATCTTTTCACAGGCTCACACCTAGACCAGCAGCCCTGGTCCCTCTTCCCCGTTTCCCTGCTCAGCTATGGTAGAGAGAAGTGGGAAAGAGTCAAGTGGAAAGCATAGGGTCATTTCCTATAGAAATCAGGATCATAGCTTTAAAGATGAAAGAAATATTAGAGGTCAGTGAGTACAATTGCCTCTTTTACTGATGGAGAAACTGAGGACCAAAGAGGTTAAATGACTTGTCCAGGGTCACACAGCTAGTATGTGTCAGACCTCAGATCTTCCTGACTCCAAGTCCAGAGATGTACTCATTACACCATGTTTGACTATGGCCCACTCCCACCTTCTCCAAGGAAGATGATTTTCCAGTTGGATGTTGAGTTTGAAGCTTCATCTCCCAGAGAGGAGACATCTCTTTGCTTCTTTGGAACAGTTTGGGGAAGTAGCCCCTAAAATAATGCCCTTGAGCTGCTTAGCCCTTCCAGGTTCCTCCCCACTGGGAAGGTCAGTGACACAGTCAGTCTGAGTTCCCCTCTTCCCAAGGAAGTAGAAGGAAACATGAGAACAGAAGAAGGAGCCCTTCATCTGGGAGAAGAAGTAGGAGGATTTTTGCTCAGGGCCCCAGTGACTGCTGGGACTCTGGAAAAGATGGGATCCAATATCTCTTAGATAATCTATATCAAACTCATAGGATCATTGCTTTAGGGATATTAGGGCCCTTAGAAATCATCTACTCCATCCTCCTCATTTTGCAGATGAAGACACCAAGGTTCAGAGAGATCCTGTGACTTTCCCACAGTTGCTCAGGTACTAAGTGTCAAATGGAGATTTGAATCCAGGTCCTCTGACTAGAGTTAGTACTCTCTGTACTATATAACATTGACTCACTCTAGACCTCACTCAATGGTTCTTGATGCCTATACAGCCCAAGGGAGTGATTACCAAACTCAGAGTATTGATCTACATAGCTAAACCACATCCAGACACCCCCCCCTCATGGCATTGGTCTATCTGGGGTGTAGTAGAACCCTGACTAGCTTCCACATCACTTGTGTGTACACTAATATTATTCCCCAATTGGAGGGCAGACTCAATCGCATCTCCAGGAGAGGAGATATCTTTGTTTCTGCTGAAAAGTTTGGGGAAATGACCACAAGGTGATGTTTAAGAAACTATTTTCTAACCAAACTCTTAGGGCAGACAGGAAAGCATAACTATGGGAGCCCCCCAGAACCACTGACCTAAACAGTACCCAGAGTACACATAGTTCAATTCTCCAAACAAAACCTGAATCTCCATCTGAAAGCAGGCTCTTAGAAACTCATCAGCTCCCTCCTACCCTGCTGAGCTGCCTCCAAAGCCATCCTCCTCCCCATCACTGCCAACCACATGCTGTCACCATCAACCTCATCTTTTAAATTTTAATTTAATTTTTTCAATGAATAAAAATGAATTTTATCTCCCTCTTGCTGAATTAAAAAAAGAAAGAAAAGAAAAACCTTTGCAACAAATATGCATAATCAAGCAAAAAAAAAAATCCTCCAAATCACCCTGCATGAAAGGTCTTAAAATACTGCCCCTAAGCTCATAATAGCTGGCCCTCCCCTTCTGACAGGACCCAAACTCAATTAAAATGCTTCAGAACTCAGTTCTCCACTCATCCTGACAGCTCTAGGTCAGACTGCTGACATTCCAATTAGTCTAAGCCTGCCCAGTAGCCTAGCACAGGGGCAGGTCCCTTCTCCAGTGAGGAGATGACAGTGTCTATTCTGTCATTTCTGTGCCCGGGAACTGCCCAGGGACTTGTGTGCTAATAAGTGATATACAATGGAGGGACTCTCCATCTTAAACTTCATGAATTAAGACTTCAGTATCCTGAGGGAGGCAGGAAATAGTGCCACTCTTCTGCCTTGGTCAAACTATATCTGGAGCTCAGACCTGGGCACCACATTTATGGAAAGACATTTATAATCTATGGCATGTCCAAAAGAGGGGGATCAAGATAAATAAGAGACTTGAAATTATTCCATAGGTATATTAGTTGAAGGGACTGCTTAGCACGGAGAGGAGAAAATTTAAGCAGGGGGACATTGATTGATGTCTTCAAGTAAATAAAGAAAGAGGGATTAGATATAGTTCTCCTTGGCCCCAAAGGGAAGAATTGGGAGCGCTGGCTAGAACCTCCAGAAGGGCAGAGTTCAGTTTGATGCAAATAAAAATAATAGCTAGCATTTATATGATGCTTTAATAAAGGTTTGTAAAGCACTTTACAAATATTACTTCATTTCATCCTCACAAAATGCTTAGAGGTAGGTCCTATTATCATTATTCCCATTTTTACAGAGGAGAGAATTAAGGCAGATCGACATTATATGACTTTCCCAGGGTCATGAACCTAGTAAGCACCAGTTTGGAACTGAACTTATGTCTTGCTGATTCCAGGTCCTGGATGCCTTTCTAATGATAAGTATCTATAAGTAAAATGAGCTGCCTTTGGAGGTAGTGAGGTCCCCATCAATAAAGGTATGTCTTCCAATGGAGATTTGGTGATTACTTGTCAGGGATGCGGCAGAGGGTTCCTGAACAGATACAGCTCTCATTGTCACCGTCCACTATAGTTAGTAGTCTTCTAAGTGTCCCCTGAATCTACCTAGCTTATTCCTATCTCTGAGCCTTTGGTCATTTTGATTACCATGCCCGGCAATCCTCTTATCTATCCATCTAAATCTTACCTGCTCATCCTCCAAGACACAGCTGAGGTCTCTCCCCTCCTCCATAAAGCCTTCCCTAATTATTTGAGTGTACACGCCACTTCACCCTTCGCTGAATACCCATAGTTAGACGAATCTGATCTTACGCTGAGTGGGGCTCTGGTTGTTTCAAGCTTGTGAACTTTGATATCTGCCCTGAGACTGTGAGGGGAGCAATTGGGTGGGGAGGGGGGGTTGCCTTATCTTTCACCCTAAGGAGTTTTTTTTTTTCCCATTGATTGGCATTTGGCTCACTTGCATGCAATCTCCTCTTCTCATTTGCCACCCCCACGAACTAGCACTGACCATTGCAGCAGAAAGCTTACCGGACCACACGGGCCATTCTGTATTGTCACCGTGAAGGTGCCTGAAGAGCGGCTCTTGGCCAGGATGTACTGGCAGGTGGCGGGAAACGTGTACCGGCGGCCATCAAAAGTCGTGAAATGGATGTCTCCAGTCACTGAGCACTCCGCTGAAAGAGCAGGGAGCCTGTCACACCCAAGGTAAGAACTGCACCCTAACCAAGGGATCCTGGTCTGCTAGGAGCCAAGATGTGAGGGAGGAGATGCAGCCCTCCATCCCTGGAGGATGAGAGTCTGACGGAGAAACCTAGACCCTGTCCTTGGGTCCTCCATCTGATGCGCAAGAGGCACAGGCTTAACCTCCAGAAGCCCTCATTCTGAGCGGAGGGGGAACAATCGTCCTGACTCTGATGGAAGGAACCCTGTATGTTCTTAAAGCTTAGAAAACTTCAAAGTTAAAAGCAGTTTGGTCTACAGGGCTTAGTGTCATTCAAGCAAAAACACTCAGGTCAGAGAAGAGCTCTTTATATGAAGTATCTGAATCATCCACTCTACTCCACTGCTAGCATGACCCTAGAGAGTTGTTCCTATGGTCCCCACCTCCCCCTGATCTGGAAGCACGAAGCTGAAAGCCCTCCCCCCAGGCCACAGGGTACCTGGGCAGGCTGAAGCACTGCACATCCATTTGCCCCCTTTGCATGTGCTGAGAAAGAGAGACGACATTTCAGAGGTCATGTTATGCCAGGCCCAGGTACAATCAAACTTCCAGTGACCAGGAAGGGGACTGGCACCCTCTGTCTACCCTCCATTCACAAACTCAGCTAGGCCCCACAGCCTGATCAGCAGTTTTATCTAGATTTACCTCTGGTCTTCCCAAGAAGGGCCATAGATCCTGGGATCAGAGGCCTAGGTATTCCTTTAGAAATGATGAAAGGAAGCTCGCGGAGGTCATCTAGTCACCCAAGGGCCCACCAATAGTTTCAGAGATAGGATCTGATGCTAGAACCTCTAACTGCACAGCCAGTCATCTTTTCATTGTACCTAGGGTAGAGACAGTCTCCCCATCTCACCCCACCCCTACCGCTGAAGCAAACAATGTCTGTACAAGGGACTAGGGATGACCCAATAAGCACAATGCTCGTCTCCCATAACAGCCTCTCCCTTCCCACCCATGTCCTGTCCTTCCCACTAGGGAAGAGCTGGGATTAGGGGAGGTTAAAACACCCTCTGGTCTCTTTAACCTTTTCTCTTTGGTATCTTTTCATGGTTTTCCTTTTTGTTCATATTTTCCTCTTTGGTGACCACTCTGGCTTCACTAAGTGCCTATTTGCTCAGTGCCTCTAGGCAGGGCATTTCTAAGGCTTAGGGAGAGGAGGAGGAGGGCCTGAGGGAAGAGTTTGTCCCCAGCAGCTCAGAGTACAGCCCAGGAAAGAGAATCAAGGAGGCCTGGGCCAAGTCTGCATTAGGCTCAAATGCTCCAGAAATGGGGCTGGAAGAAGCTTTAGGAAGAGCCCTAGAGCCAGAAAGGGGGAAGTCCAGAACAGAGCTGATAATTATGAGAAAAGAGAGAAGTCTTTCCTCAGTGAGATATGGTATAACTAGAGCAAAGAGTCAGGAAACCTGGGTTCTGACTTCAGGACAGTAACAAACTCAATGTATGACCATAGGCAAGTCACTTTCCTTCTCTGGTCCTCGGTTTCCCCATCTGCAAAATGAGATGGTTGGACTACATGACCTCTAGGGGTCCTTGAAGCTCTGATTTTCTATGGTTCTAAGATCAGAGTGAGAGGGCAGTATCTATCTCCCATCAGCCTATCAGGGAATGGGAATCCCCCTCCCCCATGCACTATCTCTCCATGGACTACACTCCATCTTTTCTATAACCACATCTAATTAGGATCAAGTCACCACCAGCCTCTGGCCGTCTCTCCTGAGTGGCCCCACAGAACCTGGATGTATAGGGATGCCCAGCTCCTCCTAACCCTTCCCCAAAGTAAGCACCAACCATGTGTTGCAATCGTCATTCACCACAGAGCCTGTTGGATACAGACTCCCATGGAATTCACAAGGACACTCAGCAGGTGCCATGCAGCCCCCGTCTTCAAAGATTAGACCTGGGAAAGCAAGTAAAATCCAGCTCTGATGACAACATTGCCTTGCTCAAAAATCTTTAATGATTCCCCCACTGTCTACATGGGGAATTGAACTCTTCATGCCTGCTATTTAATACCCTCCATAATATAGGTGCCTTCCCACTCCGTGGAGCCTTAATCCACTTCTTTATGAAACCTCGCCTTACCACCAGCTACACAATGATCTCTCCTTCCTTTGAAATTAAAAGATGTACACTCATCTATACCTCTCATTAGGTATTTGCCAAACACTACCTCGTGCTGTCAAGTATCTTTTCATGTGTCTACATCCTGGTTTCCTAACCAAAATACAGGTTCCATGAAGGCAGGGACCTTGTTGTGTTAAACTGTGCATCATACACACATACACACATACACAGTGTGTGTGTGTGTGTATGTGTGTATGTGTGTAGGGCATGAAAGAAGTGGTTTATTGAATGACAGTGAATAAACAAATTAATAAGCAAGTGGATGAATTATTTAGTGAGTGAATTAATGTATTATGAATAAGAGAGCAAATTTATGAATTAGTGAGTGAATGAGTAAGTGATTGAGTAAGTAAATAAATAAATGAGTGAGTATGTGAATAAGTGTCTCTGTCTTTCCCACACCAGAATTCCTTAGTCACATTATAAATCTTAGTGAATCTCACAGCATGACCTCAGAGCCACCCATCAACAACCCCCAGTTCATTAGCTCTGGCATTAGGTTTCCCAGGGTAACCAACTACTTCCTCCCTCCAACATTACCCTCGGGGCAATAGCAGCCATCCACACAGGCAATCTCACTGTCGATGCAAGGGGTCCTGGGCTGGCAAGATACAGGACAGCAGTTAATGCATTCATTGTAGATGAAGGCGTCCTCCTTGCAGGTCACAGCTAGAAGGAGGGAGGACAGGAAGACAAGCCATGAGGCAGTGTTTGCTTTTCACAGCATATCTGGTCTGTCTACATACTAATTCTTGGGATCCTCGTGTTAAAGCCCCAAGTTCCATCCCCAGTTCTCCCTTCCCCAGCTCCTTTCCTCAGGGGAGGAGTCTTTGCTCTCTGATGTCCCCAGCTACTGGTGGGGTTGAATCTCTAAGCATCACTGCAGAAACAGTATCCAGCCTCTGTCTGAGGATCCAGGAACCTGCCACCAGTCTTTCAGAGGGAGTCCTCAGATAGGGGCAGACCCCTTTCATCTCTGAGCTGGACACGTGGATGGACAAGAAAGCTTTAAGGGAATAAATTAGGATTATAGGATCTCAGAGATGGAAGAGGCCTTGGGGTCATATCTAGCACAATCTTATGGTGACCAATACAGGAAACTCCTCTATAACACCCCTAATATCCACTTATCCTGCCTCTGCTTAAACAGTCTTAAGGAAGGGAGATCTCACTCCCTCCAAAATCAGCACATTCCATTATTTGAAAGCTCTAATTGCTGGGAAATTTTTCCTTTATACGGAGTGTCTCTCTGCAGTTTACATCCTTGGATCCTCATTCCATCCTCTGGAGCCAAGGAAAACAGGTTGAATCTCTCTTCCACATAACAGCCCTTTGGTTCTTGAAGATATCAATCATTGTCTCCTTGAGTTTTCTCTTTTCTCGGCCAAACGTCCCCAGTCTGATCATCCTCTCCTCATATGTCAGGCCTCTAGTCCTCTCACTGTCCTAATGGGCCATTTCTAGATCCATCCCAACTTGCCAATATCTTTAAAAGATGTCACCTGAATAAATACCAATCTCTACAAGCATCTAGATGGCACAGTAGATAGAATGCTGGGCCTGGAGTCAGGATGACCTGAGTTCAAATCCAGCCTCAGACCCTTACTAGCTGTGTGATCCAGGGCAAGTCACTTAACCTTGGTTTCCTCCTCTGTAAAACAGGGATAATAATAACACTTATGTTTTTAGGGTTCTTGTGAGTCTCAAATGAGATAATATTTGTAATGTGCTTGGCCCAGTGCCCAATACCATAGGCACTTAATAAATGTTTTTTTTTCCCTTACCCCCTCTACAATGATTATATGTAACCATTTTATAAAGCGCTTTCTTATCCATTATGTTATTGGAGCTCTACGGTGACCCGTCAGTAGGGAAGGAAGGAATTGTCTTCCTGGTTCTTCTTTCCTTTGGTGAGGAAATTAATAGTTTTGTTTAATGCCAAAGTATGTTTAATATGTATTTGTCTCTGCTGACTCTCCAAATGACTCTCTACCACCATGTGGGTGTGACCTTGGGGAAACCCTTTCACCTCTCTGGAATTCAGTTTCCTTAAATATAACATGAGGGGATTTGGTCCTATGATTTCCAAGGTTCTCTTCCAGTCATAGCATTCTTGGATCTCTGATTGGGGGAGGGGTAAAGTCCACATCCTGAGCTCCCTTAAACAATGAACTGAGCACCCCTGGTCTCCCCCAACCTCAGATATAGTGACGGATCAGAGGTCATTAGGCATCAGGGTGGCACCGGGGATAGAGTCCTGGGATAGGACCCAGAATCAAGAAGACTTGACTTCAAATCTGGACTCAGACACTTATTAGCTATAATAAGCAAGTCATTTAACTTCTGCCTGCCTCAGTTTTCTTATCTGCAAAATGAGGATAATAATAGCACCTATCTCCCCTTTCTGAGAGGATAAAAAGAGTAAATACTAGCTTCTTCTTCTTGTTGTTATACGTCTAGAGCTGGAAGGAATCTCAGGTCATCTCAACAATCCACTTCATTTTACAGATAAGGAAACCAAAGTCCAGGGAGGCTCCGAGGTCTTACAAGTAATGTCAGAAGCAGGATTTGAACCCAGCTCCTTTGGATCCAGAGCCGGTGCAGTTTCCATTGTGTCATGATGACACCAGCCATGACTCAGCTTCATATCAATGAAGCCGGGTTTCTCTGACCTGAGACTCCCTACCTCCAGCCCCTCCTTCACAGCCCAGATCAGAGATGTGCCCCTAGGCTTTGGGGGTTACCCTCGCCCTCCCCCCCAGTGTTGTTTGTGCAGACTTCACTAATGCATTCAGCCTACCGCACAGGGGGAACTTGGCTCTCCAGCCCTGCAAGGAGCGCCCCGCATGGGCACATGCCCGGGCATATTCCGTCAGTGCCCGGCACCACGTGGCATCATCAGATGCTGACCTGAACCAGAGAAACCGAGGATCATGGTCAGGATCAACAGGTCCATCCCTCCACCCTGACCTCTATCCCTGAGACCTTACAGATACAGAACTAGCAGAGGCATTACCTGGCTGACCTTCTGACTTGTTTATTTACATCCAGGGGTGGAAACAAAGTTGGAGAAAAAGCGAAGCTTAATGAAAGAGGCTCTGGATTGAGAATCGGGTCACTTGGGTCCCAGCCCTGCCTCTGCCACTCACTCTGTGTGACCCCCTCCTCCCCCTACTTCCCCTCCCTAGGTCTGCTTCCCCACGGAAAAAAAGGGGAGATTAAACTCTATTTTCCTTTCTAGCTCAATTCCAACCCCACAGGGCGATAGGGAAGATAAAAGACAAAGGAATATTTTGAAAATAAGAAAGGCATAAGGTTCAAAGACTCCAGACAATTCAGGCTTAAGACTTAGACCAAATCCCGTGGGTGGGGATAGCCCTGTCTCAGACCCGAAGCAGGAGCTCCCTGCCCCATCCCCATCTCTCAGGATGCCTTCCCTTAGAGCACTACCACTCACTCACAGGCAGAGGTCACTAGTGCAGCTAGCCATGAAGGGCAAGGGGTTGACGTAGTCATGGCAGGTGTCAAATGGGGGCTTCTGCAGTGCGTCACACAGCTCATACACCCCCTAGAAACAAAGCAGCACAGACTGTAGAGGGTGGAGTAAGGAAGAGCACAGAGGTCTTAGAGGGGCCATCTTATCCCACCACCTGTCTCTATGCAGATCCATTCCTTAACTAGTCCAGAGTCAGATGGACAGAAAGGATGAAATAAGAAGGAGGAAGACAGAGAGAATAGCCTAGAGAGTGAAGAAAGAAGGAGAAATGATAGAGAGGAAAGGGAAAGAGATAAGAAAAGGAGGGGAATAGGAAGAAGAAGGAGGATAGAAAAAGGGGGCAGGAGGAAGAAAGGATGAAGGAAAGCACATTTCTCCTAGACCCCTCCCCTCCAGTATCATGAAGTACCTAACAGTCGGAGAATGGTTTTCTTCTGCACAAAGTGCCCAACATAAGTATCTCCTCCCACATTTGAAAATGAGACCTCAGCAATGGAGCTCATGGGCCAGCTAAGAAACCTTCATTTTCTCTTCTTTTAGAGGGAGAAACCAAGACTGGACCCTGAGGGATAGGAATAGAGAAGAAGAGACTCTTGGGGGACCCAGACCTGCATGGCAGCAGGGCTCTGATGGAAACATGGAGGCCGTGATGGAAATGAGACATTCGGTCCAGGGGTCTCATCTGGGGGATCTTCCTGCCAGCTACTCACGAACTCGGCCACATCCTCGGTCAGTCTTCCTGTTGGGTAAAATATCATCCCAGGGATGACCACCGAGGAAAAGGAAGGAATAACATCAAAAGACAGTAAAGAAATAGGAGAAAACATTTTCCCTTCTCCTTTGAAGAGCAAGAAATGCATGGGTGGGGAACATTCTGTTTATTTTCAGATCTTCTTACTACATTAATTAGTTTTGCTGATTAGTTTTTCTCTTCTGTCTCTTTTTTTTAAAATTCTTTGCTACCTGAGAGGAGAGCGGGAAGGATACAGAGCAAAATTCGGGCAACATAAAATAAAGATAGCAATAAACATTTACTTTAAAAAATTAACCCTCATATGGCACCATTTCCAGTTCCCTCACTGTCCTATTTACCTTCCTCTAGATATTTTCCATCCCCATCAGGCAATAATTCTATATTATACCATTTGGCATTCACTGTCATTGTTATGGTTTTCCTAAAACACCCTCCCCCCATAAGCTTCAGTGGCTCCCGACTATTTCCAGGAGCAAGTATAAAATCCTCTGTTGCATTTAAAGCCTTTCACAACCTGGCTCCTCCCTGCCTTTCCATTCCTCTCACACCTGACTCCCCTCCAACTCTCTATGATCCAGCTACACCAGCCTCCTTGCTGATCCTCACACAAATACTCTGTCAACTCTGTGTCTTTTCAGCCCATGTCTGGGATGTTCTCACCTCCACCTTCTAGATTTCCTGGATTTCTCCAAGACTCAGTTCAAATGCCACCTTCTATAAGAAGCCTTTCCCAGTTTCCTCAGTTACTAGTGCCTTCTCTGTGGACTATTATCATGATTCCAGCAGTGTCTGGGTGACTACCTTCTCACAACCTGAGATACATAGGTAAAGAATTACTAACTCCATTTTACAGATGAAGAAACTGAGGGTCAAAGAAGTAAAGGGACTTGCTCAATGCCACATAGTCATTAGATGTCAAGACCTGAACCTAAATTTCCTGACTACAAGATGAGCAACAAAGACACTAACATAAAATTAAGTACGTATGGGTTATCAGCCCCAAAGAGTGATTTGAGGAGTTCTGGGAAGGGCTTCTCCACCTCTAAACTGTAACAAGCCATGGAAGTAGAAAAAACTTCATGTAAGGATTGGACAGTGGGACTTCTGAGGTTCTTTCCAATCTAGAATCTCAGGCTCTCAGATGACTATTGCTATCATAAAATCATCCTCTTCATCATCAAGGGTATATTGGTAAATGTTTAACAACCAGATCTCCAAAATATACACAACACACTTTTAAGTTTATATCTGTATTATTAACATTTTTAAGTCCTTTTCTTAGATTTAGACAATCAACAAAACCCTAAATCAAACCCTGATTTGTAGCATTAGCAAAGTTCCAAAGTAAAAATGCTCACACTGAAAAGTTAACAATCAGTTCATATGAGTTAGCTCCAAAACACCCCGGGTCATTATAATCATCAACAAACATTCACAAAGTACCTATTATGTGCTAGGCACCATGCTAAGCACTGAGAATATAAAGAAAGGAAAAACATGGTCTTGCCCTGAAGGAGCTCCTATTCTAATGAAAGAGACAACATGCAAACAACTATGTTCATACAAAATACATGATCTCTATGCCCATCCAGCATAGGACCAACACCTATACTGGGCTGGGCACACAGTAGGCCCACTGAACTGACTCAATTGATGAAAAGATTAGCTTTTCCCCCAACCCCACCACCTGATCTCTCCAATTCTGGGTGCCTCTCTTGATGCTCCAATTAGGAAAGGGATGGGGAATAGAAGGTCTTGAGCCATTGGCCCTCAAGACTCACCAAAGCTGGTCTTCAGGTCATCCTGGGGGTCAGCATTGTTGTTCCCACACAACCCATGAGTCTTGCCTAAGTATTCAGGGCTCATCTTGATGTAGACAGCTGACTCACCATCCCAAGCCAGCGTAAAAGCAGACTGGTGCTGCACAATGACATAGTCAGCCATCTGATGAAGTCGCAAGTTCCCTGTAACGTGAGGCAGCTGGACCCTACCAGGGCATAGGGGGAGACAACACAGGGTACTCAGAGCTCCCAAACCTCCTGCTCACTGAGATGCTCCAAGTAAGGTGCTTATTAAAAAGCATTCCAAACTAGAACATCTGACCCACCACCAGCTACAGACCCACTGGAACATACCACAAACAATTAGAAAAATGACAGTAACTCACTGTTTGCAAAGTCTTCTCTTCATAAACTATAGTTTACACAGCAAACTATTACAATAATTTATACAATATTTTACAGCTTATGAAGACTTTGTAAACTATAATTTACAAATTAAAGTATTACATTAATAATTGTAATTATAGTTTACAGATTCTATTACAATAGAGATAATAGTAATTTACATCTGTATCATATTTTACAGTTTATAGCTTTTTCTTACAGTACACAATGCAGATCTCATTAAATGGAGGTGGTAAGTACATAACTCCATTTTATAGATGAGGAAATGAGGAGATGAGGATACTAAGGATCAGAGGGATAAAGCTTCCCCAGGGTCACACAGCTAGCAAGCCTCAGAGCGACGAGTTGAACCTGAGTCTACTGGCTACACAATCAGGCATGAAGATACTGAACAGAAGGTCAGGACCCAAAAACGCTCATAGGGATAGGAGGGATGGAGGGAGAGACTCCTCTACCCCCAAACTAACAAGAGATCATAGAAGGGGAAAGTCTACTGGGTCTGGAGTCAAAAGACCTGAGTTGGAGCCCAGTCAACACCTATTAGCTCTGAGACTGTGAGGAAATCACTTTATCTCTCAGCCTCAGTTTTTGCTTCTCCAAAGTGGGGATAATAATACTTATAATATTGTTGTTATGAGGGATACACTTTGAAAACTGCAAAATATTATATAAATGATTATGATATAAACACTTATTATATATTGAACATTATTACTATTATCTAAATAAACATAAATGAATTATCATTATCACCCCTTTTAGCCTACCACACTACCAAATTCAACTATTAATAATTTGTTCCTTTGCATGAATCCAAGTTCCTTTTTTAAAATGCAACTCTCTCTGAGAGGGATGGCACATGAAGTCCCTAAAACCTCAGGATGAATGAATTTATCATATGAGTTGATCCAATAAAAGAGAAACCTGGACACCAAGACACTGAGAGGGAAGGGAGAAAGGGAGAGAAGTGAAAGGGAAGTGAGGCCAAACACAAGCTTTGGTGATGGGGCACCTTTGCGCAGGCCCTTTGCTATACACAGTCTGTATACATATTGTGTATACAACCCTACTAATTGCACCCCCTAAACAAACCAAAGATCTCTTGAGGGCTTAATGCAAGGTCATCCAGAACCAGAGAATTTAAAAAGAGATATAGAAAAATTTCCTTTCCATTGTACTTTCCTCTTAGAAAAGTTATTGCTTCTGCCCAAGACCCCATATGCCAGGAATGGTAGGACAAGGTACAAGAAAGTTAGTTCATTACCCCAAACCCCCGTGGGTGACATTCCTGCTCAGGCGGATTTCATCTTCCCCTGCAAAGAAGAGGCTGACAGACCGTGGGCAGTTGTAGGGGAAAGAGCTGCATTCTGGGTAGTTGTGAACCTGAAATGAGAGGGTTGAGACACCTGAGCCAGGGAGGACCTACTGCCAGCATTGCCCCATTGCAGGTCCTGCCCCGGTGGAGAGCTCTGGGTCTGAGAGTCAAGGTGAGGCTTGGATCTTTCTTTCTCAACTCTTCTTAGCTTTACTGGTACTATAAGAGTTAGGAGCCAAACTTCATCCAGAAATATAACTAATGTCAGATAGATTTGAGTTGGATTAACTCAAATGATAACAATAATAATAATAATAACTAGCATTTATAGAACATTTTAAGGTTTGTGAAGCACTTCACATGTTATCTCATTTGATCCTTAAAACAAGCCTGTGAGGTAGGTGCTATCATTACTCCATTTTATAGATGAGGAAACTAAAGCACAGAGAGGGTAATGCAACTTGCCCAGGGTCACATAGCAAGTGTGTGTCAGAATCAGGATTGGAACTCAGGTCTTCCTAACTCAAAGTCCCTCATTCTGTCACCTAGCTGCCTCTACATATCTGGCAAGAGTAAGAGTGATAATGGCAAGTTTTGGATAAATAATAAGGAACCATGGAAGAAAAAAAAGAGTGGAAGAGTAAGAGTAAAAATTTATCAAGTGTGTCCTAAGTACTGTCTAGGACAAAAGGTGCTCTGACTGACCTACAGGTATGCAACCTGGCAGATCTCTCTCTATAATAGCAATGGAGATTCCAGGTTTCTATGGCTTTAAAATGATAATAACAATAAAAAACTACATACGTTTAAATGAAACTACCCAAAGGGTCTGTGATTTCATCAGGATGGGGAACTCCTGGTGTGGGAACTCTCTCCACCAACACATCTCTCACCCAACTACAATTTAATAGAATGCTAGGGAGTTACCTGAGAAAAATTAGGTTAAGTAATAACAGCTGTCATTTCTATAATGCTTCTAATAAGGTTTACAAAGCACTGTGTGTGTATAAGCATATACATAAGTGTATGTATGTATATGTGTATATACACACATATATATTTATGTATATATATGTATATCCATATATATGTACATATGTATCTATACACACATATGAAATCTATATATAGAGAGAGGTATCCATATAGGCATATAAATAGATTATAGAAAGAAAGAGAGAAAGAAACAAAGAAAAAGGAAGTAAAGGAGGAAGGAAGGAAGGAAGGAAGAAAGAAAGGAAGGAAGGAAGAAAGGAAGGATGGGAGGAAGGGAAGAAAGGAAGGATGGGAGGGAGGGAGGAAATGAAGGAGGGAGGGAGGAAAGGAAGGAGGGAGCAAGGGAGGAAGGGAGAGAGAGAAGGAGAAAGAGGGAGAGGGAGAGACAGAGACAGAGACAGAGAGAGACAGAGAGAGAAAAATCTCATTTGATTCTCACACAGGAACACAGCTAGTTAAGTGTAAAGAAAGCAGAATTTGAATAAATGAATAAACAAATGAGAAAGCATTTACTCTGTTCCAGGCCCTATTCTAAGCACTGAAGATACTAACAAAAGCAAGGGACACAGTCCTTCACCTCAAGGAGCTTATATTCCTAGAAGTGGTGGTCAGTGAGCAGTGACAATTGATTGGACAAGGAAAAGTGAACCTATCTGATGGAAAGAGGGAATGGACTTCCCTCTCAGGGAGTTCAGTCTGAGACATGTATCTTTTGGACACAACCAATACGAGATTTTGTTTTCCTTTACTATGCATATTTGTTACAAGGATTTTAGTTTTTCTTTGTTTGCTTGTTTGTTTTTTCCTAGTGGGGACTAAGGGGAGGTGAGAGGGAAAGAATATAGATTTTTGTCCATTGCCAAAAATAAAATTAAATTCATTTTTTTATGAAAGGTGAGGGGTTGAATTTGAACTTGGATTTTCCAGACCCAGCACTTTAACCACTAAGCCACACTGTCTCTCAGTATGTATATAGTGCTTGCAGGTTTGCAAAGGGATTTCCAAATGTTATCTTATTTGACCTGATGACATTACTGAGACATAATAAGCTAACCTTCCAGCATGAGAATCCAGTCCACTCTGGAGTAACATTTCTTAGTGTAACTTAATATGCTGGTATGTGGGCTAAGCATTTGATCGAGTCTTTCATACTTCTTGTAGACAAGAACACATGTAGACCAGAGGATAATCTAGTCAAATGCATTCAGAACCTGGCTGAATGAATGAAGCTAAAACAAAAAGTCATTAATGGGTTCTCAGTAGAGGCCTCAAGGGATCTGTCCTGAGTTGGTCTCATGCTATTCAATATTTTTATCAGGTCCTTGAATGAAGACATTGAAGGCACTCTTGTCAGATTTGTAAAAAACATAAAACGGGGAGGGAAAGCTAACATTTTAGATGACTAGCAGCAATTCTCAAAGTGTGGTCAAGGGAATCCTTGAAAATCTGGAGGTTTTGTGGACTGAAAACTCATTGTGAGGAAATAACAACATGACAAAATACCCCAAAAAAGATGCCATCCTAGGTTAGAGATAGAGTGTCCAAAATTTAGAGGATGAGAATCTTTCCTCAGTTCCAGTCAGACCACACAGGAGTACTGTGTTCTGTGCTGGATGCCTATGGAAAGGACATTGACAAAGTGGAGGATATTCAGACATGGCAGTCAAGGTGTTAAGGGGACTAGAAATCATGCTGTCCAAGGATGGGACTGGAGATGTTTACCTTGGAGAAGAGAAGACTTAGGGACACCTCGTAGTTGGGTTTAAAAATTCCTAAGACTGTCATGTGAAAGCAAGATTAGACGTGTTCTCCTTGGCCTCAGAAAGAAGAATTAAGAGTCACATGGGGAACATGTAGAGTGACCAATTTTGGCATGTTAAGGAACAACTTCCTAATGACTACAGCTGTTAAAAATGGAAAGGGAAATCTCACCGAGCTCTCCACTCTGAATGGTTCTTTTTGGGGTTTTGTTTTTTTTTTTAGGCAATTGGGGTTAAGTGACTTGCCCAGGGTCACACAGCTAGTAAGTGTCAAGTGTTTGGTCTGAGGCTGGATTTGAACTCAGGTGCTCCTGACTTCAGAGCCGGTGCTCTATCCACTGCACAACCTAGCTACCCCGACTCTGGATGTTTTCAAAGAGAATTTGAAGAATGATTTAGACTGCTTGTGCTTGGTCCCAGAAAGCTGAACCATAAGCAATGGATAAAAGTTGCAAGGAAACAAATTCTCAGGTGTAGATTGAGCTAGGTGGCCAATTTGATCACCAAATCTCAATCGGAAAGATCCTATCAGTGCCTTATAAGGTTGATTAGTAGGAAGCAGTCCTTGAAGCCTAAGACTAAGCTGATCAATTCAGGCTCCTGAACTGAAGACCAAGGTGAAAGACTTCATCCCAGACCTTACCAAGATCCAGAATCCTTTTGGCCCAACCTAAGTTAACAAGCCAAACTCTTTACAACTCATCTCGACTTTAGTCTATAGCACTGTGTCCTACACATGAGCATAGACACCACAATCCCCACCCCCAAATGCACACATTTGTAGTAGTGAGTGGGACCAGGGCTAAAGCCATGCACCTTCCTCACCTGAATGGAGAAGCTCTGCTCACCAGGCTCATACTGACCCACCAGTGTGTAGCTGGCTCTCCCAGAGAAAAAGTAATAGAGGCCATCAAACGTCTCGACATGGTGCTGTCCCCACGTACGGCAAATGTTGTCTCTCTCTGGGCCTGTGTTATACACTGAGCACAAGCAAAGGGAAAACTTTCAACAGGAAGTCAGGGCACATTTCTAGGGAGGAGGTCAGTGGCTGAGTCCAGAGGATGAGTGCATTCAGTTGCCCAGAGATGAATGATCAAAGTCCCTACCATCCTCCAGCCACCTGTCCAGGGGTTCAGGGCACTATTGTTCTCTCCCCCTGAAAAACAACAAACTGGGGAGATTCTCCAAGCCCCATTTTCTCTACCAAAGTGGCCCTACTATCCTCAAGTGCATCTTTTTCTGGGTCCAGTCATACCTGTCTGGCATCTCGGACCCGTTGCATTAAAACGCCTGCAGTCACAGAATGTCTGGTGCACACATTCCCCTCCATTAAAGCAGGAGAATAAGTCTGCAAGTTAAAAGCAATATACTCTCTGAGGGTCTAGATTTGGAGTTCTAGACTCTAGAGAAGAGCAGTAGTCTCCATACTTTTTGATCACCCATCCCACCATCCCACCTAGATGGGTTTGTGGAAGGGAGTGGGCAATGTAAGATTTTCCTAATGGAAACTATGTAGCTGTTGTAGTTGGAGTTAAGTTATAACTGACTTGAGGAACTGATGCTCACTTCAGAAAGGGAAAGGTTGGGAGATTGCTAAACTCCATGTAGGGGTAGAATGGGAAAGTATTAGGCTATAATGGGTGAGAGTTATGTGATTGTTTGGGAAACAAGCCCATCATCGGCTACTGAGGGGAGGGTGCTGTGTGACCAGTCCTCCTGCTCTACTCACCACTGGTTAACCTATCACCCCTTGGGGTCATGCCATGGCCCCCACTCCAGACACCACTGAACTAGAGCATGAAGAAAGCCAATCACACAGATGTCACTGAAACCCAGTGTTTGAATAACTGACTCTAATTCCATGTTTACCTATTAGCTGGTGGCTTATGAGAAATTTCAATCTACACTTCTCTTCTCAACAACTCTCATAGGGTAATTCCAAACATACCAGATTGGGGAACAAAATATAGTAAGAAGGGAAGGCCATGAGCAAGAAGAGGTGATAAGTGTGGAAGGGGAGAAAAAACCACAAGAGACAGAGGACAAAAACAGATCAGGACTTAGCTACCAGAGGGAGAACAGAATGGATCAATCAACAATTATTTGTTAAGCGCCTACTATGTGCTAAGCACCATGCTAGCCTGTGGGGTATGTAGAAGAATAGGAGGATAATTCGATGAGAGAGAGCTCACACAGATACACCCTGTCACATCCATTGCCTGTCCAGGTATATCCAAGTATACGGAGGAGACATTTAGGAGAAGGGAAGGCTGTGAGCAGTTCTCCAAGATTAGGAAGAACATGACGGTTGCAAGAAGGACCATGGGACTCTCCGATTTCATAGGCCAGTCCCCTTCCAAGGCTTAAGACAACTTACAGGGAGTTGCACACTTGGTACGATGGAGTCGTCTTTCCCAGACAGAAAACATGGCTGAAGATGCCAAGGGTGCCGACTCCTTCAGAATGACGAGAGAGAGAAGAGAGTTGTTTGAAGCAGAGATTCAAGGGTCAACTACATTTCCTAATTCACTACAATTCACAACGTGTATGCACACCCATGCCACAGATGGATAGAGGAAAAAAAGTCAGGTGAGGAAGTAATAGAATTATGGAATTGCCTGACTCCATTACATTAACGATTTCCACATACACTTAGCTACTGCTCCTACAGAAGACCTAAAGTCTCTTCCTTCAGACTCTGGAGGAATCTGGTCTTTTCTTCATTCACCTGACTTTTGTTCCTCTACCCATCTTTGGCCTGGGTATGCACACTGCACACAGGATCCAAGCCCAGCATATGGGTGTACATACACACACACACACACACACACACACACACACACACACACACATATACTCACACACATACATGAGACCCAAGCCCAGTTGCTGAACAATACATTTTCCTACTCCAAATAATCTATCCCAAGGGGTCATACACATTGTTGACAGAGAATGAAGCTGGGGGAAAAGAAGATTCCAACAGAAACTACTGTTCTTCCAGAAGGTCTGGCCAAAGACCATGTACAAGTGAATGCTGAGCTAAAACCTATCCCTTGCCTATTTCTCCCCTCTGCCAAGTTTCTCTCATTTATAGTCATAGCAACTTTGAAACAGTCTTTAGCCAAATCCATTTGGTTTGCTCATTGTAAGCATTTACCCCTTGGGAATTTGCAAATGCTACAAATTGGAGCTTGATTTATTCTTTTATTGATTGTCTAGACTTTAGAAAGTGATAATAATGGAGATTAAAGCCAGAGCTGATCATGAGTACATTACATTTCCAGAGAGCCAGTTGTTAAACATTTATAAGCATAATTAATTCTGTCTACCTGACTGGAATGATTTAGTCTTCACGGATCCAATGCCCCATTCAGCAACCTTCTAGTCAAGCACCTATTTATTCCAGTCTTATTCCATGCAAGGCTCTGTGCTCAGTAGTAGGGAAAGACATAAATCAGATCCCAAACTGTTAGGCCATATGAGTCCAGCTCTTTTGCACCCATATTCTCTTCCAAGTTCTCAAGCACCATGATTTCAGAACATCTAGGTTTACAAAGAATCCAAAGGAGGATGGATATGCTACAGTGGGCTACCCAAGAGGCCTGAGCAGGAAGTACAAAGGACATGACTGAGGACATTGATGACCAGAAAAGAAAGTGGGCTAGTTATGTGGCAAGAGTTAACAGCAAAAGAAGTAGCATGGCAAGTGGGTAAAATCCTGGACTTGGAGTCTGGGTAATCTCAAATCGTATCTCAGGAACTTCCTAGCTGTGATAGGAAGAGCATATAATTTCTCTGGGCCTTGGTATTCTCATCTTTACAATGGTCCTACAAGCCTATGAACTTTTATGGAAAAAAATAAACCATGTGGTATCAGCATGCCTCTAAGGTATTGCTTACATTGCTCCCTCTTTGGAATCAATATCCCTTTTCTGGAATCGTCTATGCCCCAAAAATTCCAGTTGCTTAGGTAATTGGCATCCCATCCCTGACCTGGCACCTCAAAATTGGGAAACCAATCAGATCCACCAGTTTCTATCAAACACCTGAGCTACTCTGAAGCATGAAGTGATGATGAACCCAGGAATCCCAAGAATGAACTTGGTGTAAATTCTCACTTAATTTCTTATGACGAGCAGAAATATATCAAAACCATGTAGAAGGGATAACTGTACACTGAAATCATTGGTCCATGCCACTCCCTTCCCCCCAAAAAAAATTCTGAGCAAAGGACTCCTCCTTCAGGTAGCAACCCCCTTGGAATGACCAACAATCTCTAGATTGACCCTCAGTTGTTTGGGTTTCAGGCTTCAATTTCATAGTTGTATAGTAACAGCGAGGTTTATTTCTACCTTTGGGGATATCATAATACTTAAAGGCTTAGTTCGAAGTCAGAACAACAAAACAAAAACTGGTCTTGGACCTCAGTTTCTTCATCTCTAAAATGAAGGGGTTGCCAAAAGATCTCTGAGACTTTTTTCTGGCTCTAAATCTATGATCCTGTGTTCTAACATACAATGGATGGGCATCCCTTTTAAAAAAAAAAAGGCTCAGAAACTAAAGTCAAGCATCATTGCCTCCATTTTCAGAAAGAGCCACAGGTCTTACTGGTATTAAGCTCAGTTCCCTACACAGACAGGTAAGTGCCCTCCCTCTGGTCTCAGCTGCGCTTCCCCGGCAACAGCCGTCACAATAATGATATTCCACTGCTCCAAAAACAGTAATCTGAGAAATCTGTCAGGAGCCACATTCTTAAGAGGCTGGCTGCCAGTCTTTACAGGTCCATAGACACCTCCCTAAGGAGAAAGGTGGAAAGGAAACTTACCCAGTAATCCTTATGAATGCAAAGAAAGAGAATACTGTGTAGACAGGGGTACTTAGATAAAGATTACTACATGATGAATGTGTTAAGTGAGCCAATGAGTTTATGAAAAGGTGATTTGGGGAGATTATCAAGAGGCAGCATAGCACAGGATAGAAAGCTAGCTTTGAAGCTAAGAAGTCCTAAATTCAAATCCCACCTCTGGAACCTAGCGGCTACACTTTCATCACACGGTAAAATGAGGATTTTGGACTACATAACTTCCAACATTAGATCTAAGATCCTCTGATCTTAGTCCAAAATTTCATCCTCTCCTCTCCCTGATTCACTTTTTCCCACCTGTCTGCATTAGCCAAAATGACTAGTAGGTATACAGTTATCCCTTCCACATTGCTAGGGTTAGGGGTGCAGCAGCCCCCATGATCTGGAAAATCTATGAAAAATTTTTTGGCTCTCCCTTCATACCAGAGAAATCTGATTTTTTTCTTTTCTTTTATGGGGTATTTACAGCACCTTATTGTAAATTTTGGATTGATATTATTATATAATACTATACATATATTTTATGAATTTCTAAGTTTCCAAACTTTTTCTGTGTCATCTGCAGGCCTCCTCATGTTATCTGCAGCTTCCAAAAAACTCCCCAAAAATTTCCATTAATTTCTTCTGCTGACCCTCAATATGTCAAAACCAGGATGGGAAGGGATAACTGTACATTTCTCTCATTTTGTCAGAAGCAGAGGATAGTGAGGAGATACAGACTAAGTGCTCAGAGTGAAGGAAAGGGGGAAAAACCCCACTAGTCACCAGTTGGAAAATCAGCACTGAGTTCTACTAACTTTTGGTCCAAAAATTCATATCCTAAAAGTCCTTCTTTTCTTGTGGACTATTATAATTTTTAAGTGAATTATGGAGATAGCGGTTTCCCTATTCTCAACATCATAGAGAAAGTCAGGCAAAGACAACCTCAGAACATTGGAGGTTTCTCTGCAAACTGAGTCTATCAAGACAGTTGGAGAATGACAGCTTCTGTCCTACTGTCTCACTCCCGTCTAACAACAAAAATCAACCTCCTAGCAAGTGGGGTTCTGGTTGGTTATAGGGCCAATTTAGTTACCCACTTCATGATATGGGAAGAACTATAAATTAGGAGCAGAGATAGACAACAATTTGAAGAGGAAACTGGTAAAGGAAGGCAGTGGTAGAAACAAATTTGCCACCTGGCTCTCGACCACCACCACCACCCCAACCAAAACTTTTAAAAAAGAAAGAAAAAGCAAAGAAAGTCACATCCCAAACTCAGCAGGCTATAATTGAAATTCGGAGGAAGGGAAGTTCTGGATTACTCAGATGATTGCTCCACTGTCTGTTTTACTCATGTAGACACACACAGTCTACCAGCACCTGCTGCCAACTATCGCCCCCCATCCCAGATTGCCCTACTTTTCTATCATGCATCTCGGGCAATGATCCCAGGCAGCCTGGGAAGTTTAGTGTGGGACAGAGAGGCCCAGTCTGGGATTCAGGGTAGTGCCCCTGACAGTCAGACAAGAAAGGAAAGAAAGGAAAGAAGGAAAGAAAGAAAGAAAGAAAGAAAGAAAGAAAGAAAGAAAGAAAGAAAAAAGAAAGAAAAAGAGAGAGAGAAAGATGAAGGGAGACTTCTCACTCCCCTCTCCCTGTGGCCCCTTCTTTAGACAATACCCCAAAGCCATTGTCTGTCACCAGTTAGGCAGGTCTACCCCCACCCCCATACACACACAGGCATTCTCACACAAACCCACTTCTAGGTTCAGGGGAACTGGTTCTCATTGTCTGACTTACGGGCCAGCCTGAATGTCAGTTGGTGGAAAGGTTCTATCTATTTGGCCTAAGATGACACCACCCAAGTAGACCTGCCGTACAGTTGACCTGATTTACAAAATCTCGCAGCTGAAAGGGACATTAGGGTTTCATCTAATTCAACTCCTTCCCAGTTCAGGAGATGTCATCCTATAGCCTCCCCAGACGGTCTGCCTCAGCTGGAGCACTGTCCACAGCACAATAGTGCTAAGATTTTCTTTGGCCCAGATCACCCACATGCCCCAACTTTTCTCTGAGTGTACTTCGTGGTCCAGTAGAAGGGACATCACTAACCAACCCTCTTTCCCAGCCAAGAAGAGAGGTGGAGAAATGGGGGCTACAGCAGAGGATTTCTCTCACCCCATCCAGAAGCCCCATACCAGAGTCCCTGCTGTCCCTTTACCTGCTCTTCCCGGCCGGTAGTGGCGTCTTCCCGACGAAACTTGGCCTCTTCAAGGCTAGGGAGGGAAGAGACTCTGGGCTAAGGGAAGCTTAGCTGAGCTTAGTTTAGGGCAGAGGCCGTTAAGCAGTTGCCCCCCGCCCGGACCAAACCAGCCCTTCCCTCCTCACTTGGTCCTCCTCTTCTTTCTCACCCGGATGCGCCAACGAGGTGGCCAGGGCCAGATAAAAGTCGAAAAATCCTTGGGGGAGGGCGGGCAGAGGTGCCTGCAGAGTGCCCTCGGGAGGGACCTTCACCACCCCAGAAGAGTGGCGGATATGAGTCCCAACCTCCCACCCCACTCACCTGCGCTCCGCAGTTCCGGCGGGCGGCGGCTCCGCGCCGCTGCTAAAGGGAGTCGACGTGGTGGCTGAAAATAGAGGGAGGGTTGCAAATTAAAAAGCCTCTAGCTCGAGGTCTCGTCTTCTCTTCCCCCGACCCTCGCTCTGGCTTTCATTCCTAACTCCCAGCTCACCTGCAGGGACCCAAAGACAAAAAAACAGCAGCCAGATCCCAGACGCTGTGGGGTGCGAGGCGAGGACCCCCATGGAGGCCCAAGTTCTAGTTGACCACAGAATGCGGGATGCCTTAGAGCAGGCGAGGGCGCATCTCCGGTAAACCGCAGGCGAGGCCTTTGGGAAGAGCCGCGCCTCTCCCTTTGGTTTTCGTCTGTCCCGTCTGCTTCTTATCCTGTCCCGCCAGTACCGCTCTGTGTTAATCTCAGCCCCAGTGCCTCACTTCTTCGGGGAATCTGGGAGGGCGCGCTAGGACAGCCCAGCTCATTACTATAATTTAGGTGCTACCTGCCTTTCCCCGCCCGCCCTGGGGCGGGAGCCGGGGCTAATCACCTTTCCACGGTGGGCAGGGTCTATTCAATTCAATTCCATTCTAGCAATCAGGTTGGCAACTCCCTGGCCAGGGCACTGTCCCACTCCGGTATGTAAAACAGTCATTGTAGCCTGTTTTCTGCGCCCTGAGCTCAGTTTTTCTCCAGGGTACCTTTGCACTCAGGCACTCTGCTTAATCCGGCTCATTTCTTCAGACCTTTCCAGATCTGGCCCCATGGGCACTGTTCCTACCTATACTTCTGCCTCCCACCAAGCTCCCAACTCCTCCCACCCTCTTCTCCCCTAGAAAAAACCTTGAAGGCCAAGTTTTCTCCCCATCCTTTGCCGTGTCCTGTCTTGTCTGTTGCCAGGCCCAAGCAGCTTAGGAAGACTTTTTAGATTTAGATGAAGGTGAGGGTTGAACTTGAGTTAGGACCTGGACACCACTCCTGCAGGAGAGGGGAGCTTGAGGCTTTGAGGCCGTGTGTGGCCCTCTAGGTCCTCAAGTGTGTCCCTTTGACTGAATCCAGACCTCACAGAACAAATCCGCTTAATAAAAGGATTTGTTCTGTAAAACTTGTACTCAATCAAAAGGTTGCACCCAAGGACCTAGAAGGCCACATATGGCCTGGATGCTGTAGGTTCCCCACCCCTGTAGCCCATCCTGCAAAGGGAAAGAAAGTTCAACTAAAGAGAGTATTTGGTGAGTGTGAATTCAAGCTTTGAAGGAAGCCAATCTCCCTCCTTTCTTCTCCACCCCTTGTATTCTTCCATCCATTTCTCCAAACTCTGACCTCAGGAAAGGATTTCTGGTCTGTAACTAAGGGAATGTGACTCAAAGTCCCCAAGTGTTTGTTTTCAAATTTCACTAAAAAGGCGTCACACTTCCCCCTCTTCTTCCCACCAAATTCCAGGTTGCTGTGAACCTTTGAACAACCAGGAAAGAAGTCCTTTTTTGGCCTACAGAATTCAAGACTTCATAAAGAATTCATAAGAATTCAAGAATGACATAAGACAATGCCTGCCTCCTCACATGATGTGCCCCCCAACACAACTAATTCACATTGAAGTGTAAATATATGATAAATCTGACCTGTTGCCTCTCCCTGGGGTATTTTTACATTGGAATCAATGAAGAATTCACCCAAAGAAATATATCTCTAACACTCAAAGGTCTGCCCTTGATACATGGAATATAGGGGAAGTAAGGTGGGAACACATTAGTTACACTAGGAAATCCACTCCCAGAGGGAAGCCTGCACCCACTTCTCTGAAAAGTGGCAAATAGACCAAGTCCTGGTCCCAGGCTAGCCTTCTAGGAAGATTCACCCTCCTTTGGAACCTCTCTACTCCTATCTACCTCTCCCTGTCCAACTTACTTTTCATACCCTTTCCCTCCCCGAAGTAAGGGTCACTCGTATGAATAAGTCGCCTGCGTTGTAACCTTCCCACAATTTCTCTTCCCTTCTCTCAGTCTGAGGTGTAGTGGGGTGGGGATGGTTTGGAGTGAGATGGGTTGAGGGGGATGGAAATGGGGGGGGGGGGATGAAGGGAGATGGGCTCTGCTGCTTCCTTCCTGGACTGTCAGGGTTTCTGAGGTGAGGACAGTCAGGTGAATGAAACAAGGACGGCCCTGGAGAGTCGTGCTTCAATATCCGAGTCACAAGCTGGCCCCCAAGTGATTGCTGCAGACGCTCTGTAAACTCTGAGCTCCATAAGGAGCTGAGAGCTCCTGGCGACCCTTGGCTAACTCTCCATTTCAGACCCCTACTGGCTGAGTGATTTGGGGAGGAGAGACAAGGGTATCTCAAGGAGTTAGATTCACTTCTGGGCATGTAAATCCATTGTGGACCCAGTCTTCTCAGTCCTTTCAGTCCAGCGCCCCTTCCCTCAAACCCTCCCAGATCTCCAGCCCCGCCCCCTAGCCCTGTGCCCTCCCCCAACCACTCTACGGGCACCGGCCCCGCCCCTCCCTGGCGCACCCCACTTCCAGAGACTCAGGATCCCGCCCCCCACCGGCTTCTCAGCTCTGAGACCTACTTTGCAGCCTCTCTTTCCACGCGTCCCATCTCTGCCCCTCCCAGGGGTTTGTCCCAGTCTAGCTGCCTCCAGTCTGAACCCAGAGAAGTCGCGCGGTTCGGTGCGACACGGCCCGGCCCGACAATGGACAGGAAGGTGGCCCGGGAATTCCGACACAAGGTCAGAGCCACTAGCGGGCAGGCGGGTGGCGCTAGCGCGGGGCCGCAGGAGCTCCGACTCGAGGATACTAGGGAGGAGTGCAAAGAACAGGACAGGCTCCGGTAGCTGGAGCTGATCCTCACCGGAGCTCCGGTGCATGTCCGCTTTCGACAAGGCCGACCTCAGATATTGTGCCCTTAACACCTCCAGAGGATGATCGAGGAACCACCCTCCCCAACTTGGGCCCCTCAAATGGCTTGTCTGGCCAGGAGACTCTAGGTGAAACTCTTAGATAGGGAGAGATGAAGAAAGCAAGCCCGGCTGCCCTCGCTAAGCACCACCATCCCCAGCCCCCTTCTTCTGGAGCAGCCTCTTCATCCATTATACTTCCTGCCCCCTTCTCCCCTCTTTCCCACCCCTGAGAGACAGTTGTATTAACTTGAGACCTGGCTGGGGATACCTACCTTGGGACACCCACCCTGCCCCCTCCCTTTCAAATGGCCGCTGAAACGTGCCCCGCCCCTCCTTCTTCCTCCCCCCCCCCCCCCCCCGCCCACACACCCTGGCTCCCATTCCTGTCCCCGGTCTGACCAGTCAAGCAGGAAAAAAATCACTTGTGGATTACCTTGAAGTTTAGCTTTTGCCCTTTTGCCTCAGGGAGGACTTTCTATCCATATTCCTCAGAATTGTATAAAGAGGCCCTGATGCTCCAAAGAAGGGCTCCTGTGGACCCGGACACCCAGCTAAGGCTTAGGGGTTGGGATACAGAACAGCTCAAAGGCAGATACTGCCATTTTAAGAGAGAAGGGTCCAGAGGCCCCATGAGGGAGCTTGTTCTGGGTGCATCTGACTTTGAAGTTCCTCAGTGTGATGTCTGCCTGTGAGCGCTTGGTGTTTGGTTAGCGTGCGGTCAAACATCAGACTGATTGGAAAAATGGTGGGGTTAATTGGAGTGCCACATCTGGGTAGGCATCCACATCCTAACAGGGTAGAGTTATAACAGTTCATCCTGCCCATGTGGGCTCAGACACCTGTAGGATGTCAGAGCTAGAAAAGCCCATAGAAATTACCAGTCAATAAACAGACAAGCATTTTTAAAGTGCCAACCACGTATATGCCAAAGACTGGGTTGGGTCCATATGCAAAAAGTGAGACTGAAACTATGTGCGCTATTCAGGAGCTGTGGTTCTAAATAGATAAAAAATACATGTGAAAAAAAGACAGAGTGATTTGGGGGGCAGCTGGGAAGATCAGGAAAGCCCTCGAGTATACAGGAGGTAATACTTGAGCTGAGCTTTGAAGGAAGTTAGAGATTCTGAGGCACAGAAATGAAGAGGAATAACACTCCAGACATGGGATAGAGCCCATGGAAAGACAAGGCTCTGGAGTCTGAGGATGTTTCAGTTGCTGACTAGCTAGGTGACCTTGGACAATTTACTTAACCTAGCCTCAGTTTCCTCATTTTGCAAATGACAGGGTTATATTTAAATGGCCTCTTAAAAGCTGTGTTGTGATGTATGAAGAATAACACGAAGGCCAGTTTGACTGGACCATAGAATGCATAAAAGAAGGTAGTCTGGAAGGTCTCAGAATCAGGCTGTAAAGGGCTTTATTCTGGCGGGAGTCACTGGAGTTTCTCGAGCGGATGAGTGACATGGTCAGACTTGTGTGTTTGGACAATCACTTTGGCATCTGTGTGGAGGATGACTTGGGGACAAGGGAGACTGGAGGCAGGGAGACCAATTAGGAAGTTATTTTAATAGTCCAATGGAGATCGTCTTGTTCAACCCCCTAAAAGATGGTAGAGCCAAGAGAACCCTCCAGCCTCTGTTTTCTGATTTCCAGCCCAGCATTTTTCCACTCCACCTTATAACTTTATTGTGGGGCCTGTGATGGGGATGGGTAATGTTATGTAGTGGAAGGATAAACTCTTCCTAAGAAAATGCAGGCTTCCCATGGCAGATTCCATAGTGAGAGCAGGGAAAATTCGATAGGTGAGAATTAGGGGAGAGTGAGAATAGGTGAGTGTCCTGGTTGATGGTAAGCACAGGACAGTTCAGTGCGTAAGAGGACATAAGGGAAGAAATTTCAGCTGATGAGTATTTGGTGAGTGTGGATTTCAAGCAACCCATTTTGAAGAAGCCCAACCCCCTCCTCCCCCACCCCAAGGATCTCTTGTGTCTGGCCTTCAGACTCCAGTTTCACTTGTGCCACTGGGCTGTGAAAGGCAAAGTCCGAGAGGCTGTGTGTGCTTGGTAACAGCTTTGTCTGTGGACTCCTCCTCTTTAAGGAAAGGGTATATGTGTGTGTGTGTGTGTGTGTGTGTGTGTGTGTGAGTGTGTGTGTGTGTGTGTGTGTGTGTGTGTGTGTGTCTCTATCTGTCTGTCTGTCTGTCTGTCTCACTCTGCTTTGGGCTCTTCCTTTAAGGAAGGAGGTTCTGAGGTATGTTGTGAATGTTTTCTGCTCTTCTTTGGGGTCATTCTTTAAGGAAGGAGGTTCTGAGGTGTGTGTGTGTTTCCCCCAGCTCTACTCTGGGGCCTACTGAGCCTACAAACATCACCTTCCAATGGGCTTGAGCCCCTAGTTCAGTACCGTTGTACTTCCATGACTGTTCCCTCATCATACTCATCTTTATGGATTTATGCTCCCAAGAAGTATGTGGGTTGATGAGATGGCAGGGTGGGGACTGGTCTGAACTTTGTACCAAACAGCTGAGGGAGTGGTAGGCCCTAGAGATAGAAGCTTTCCCTAACCTCCCCACCCCCATTCTTTCATTTATGTGCCTGTGCAAAACACACACACACACACACACACACACACACACACACACACACTCCACATGTCTGAGGTTTAAGAATGAGTTTGGAGGGAAAGAATCCCTGGGAACAGCATGAGGGGAAAATGTATTTTTTGCTGAAACTGAACAATCTACCAGTGATTTCCCCAAAATTATTAGTCATTTGAAGCTAATTTTTAACTGGGGGGGTGCTAAACTGTAACATAAATCTCTAGTTTTTTAAAGTGACCTGTGACCTTGTTGCCATCTTTGACATACTGTTTATATAGTAGAGACGGTGCTAGATTTGAAGTCAAAAAACATAGGTGCAAAACCCAACTTAGGACCCCGAGTGACCTTAGACAACCAAGGGACCTCTCAGGCCACAGTTCCAATCGGTAAAATGAAGGAGTCCAACTCTAGTCTGAGACTGCTGAGGTTCCTTCGAGCTCTAAATACGGGCTCCCATCATCTTTCTGGGCTTCTTGCTGGGCTTTAGCACCTTTATCAGATCATAAATTTTAGACCCAAAAGGTATATTTAGAAGCTATTCAGTATAACTCTCTCATTTTACAGATGAAGAAGTTGAGTCCCAGAAAAAGCAAATGACTTGCCCAGAATCACACAAGTAGTATGTAAAAAAGCTAGGTTTGGAAACCAGGCCCTCTGATTCCAAGTTCAGGGCTCTTTCCCCTACAGTGGAGAAAGCATAGGACCTAGCATCCAACATCCCCAAGAACAGCAGAGCTTCCCAACATACTTACTCTACTTCTGGCATCTCCACACTGTCATTATCCAGGAAATAGCCCTTATGAAGGGGGAGCTCACCACCCATACTATCACCAGTGTTTATTTACTACCAAACAAATGCCACAGACTCAGAGGTAAGTCTAAAAGCCCTGGGAATAATGGATAAATTGACTCTATTATAGTTCCTAGTGGCTCTGTGTGAATTGTATTCTAGCAGGCTTGAAGGTATTTCTTTGATAAAATTCTAGAATAGGGAGATATCAAAGAACTATGATCCTTGTAGTGCCAATGACTTCTGAACCAAGACTAGCACTTTGTAGATGAGAGGGAGAATGTTAACTGTCTATTTACTTATTCAAGCAATAAGAATTCATTGTAAATTTACAAGCTGAAAACTTGGATCTTTCAGAGTGGTCTCCATACTGAAGAGTGGACATCTTCCTGCCATTTTTCTGGCAACTTCCATACTCCATTCTTATGTTTCCTATTTGGCTCCCTTAGCCTATCCCTAGTATCTCCTTGCCTTTGCTATCAGATATGGGCAACCAGCTAGGCTCAGTAAAAACCTGCCCCTTCTCTAGAAAGCTCAACCTTCAGATGCTTCTCTGGGTTCTCTGGGTCTGAAAGTAGTTATGAGTTTGATGATCTGACTGCACATGTGATAGAGAAATGGGCAGAGCTGGATACTCTGAGTTATCGTTGCCAGAATGTCACTGATGACCTTACCTCCTGTTGACCTCCCATCCTTCTCCTGCTATTTAAGAGGGAGCAGGACATAGCTCTTAGGTTCATAGATTTATAGTTAGAAGAGATCCCCTCATTTTACAGATTCAGAAACGGAGATTCAAAGAGTTTAAGTGAAGTATCCAAAGGATTTGAACCCAGATCTTCCTGACTCCAAATCCATCACTCCATTCACCACATCCCATTGTCCTACTTGTTTCTTTCCGGTTGCCCCTCCACCCTCCACCAATTTCCTTGACTCCTGGGTATTTTCAGCACTTAGCAGTACCTGGGCACATGGTGGGCATTTAATAAATGCTTATTGATTCACTGTTTTGCTTTGAGTCCCAAGCCTCCCTTTGGATGAGTTAAAATGGGTAGAAATAAAAGCCTGTTGTTTTATGTGAAGCTTGCTCATCTGATTCTCTTTGGAACTCTTTCTAAGATACATAACTGCTATTAAGGACTAGTATATCTGTTTATTGGTTACCTATTACATGCCTACCATTTTTCTGGTGTTGCCTGTATTGGTCTGACTGTATTGTCAGTCTCTGTCCAAAAGAATTTTACAACCTAGCAGTCATAATAATACCTCACATTTGTATAGCAGAACTCTTTCCTCAGGACAAATTTTATTATGATATGCATTGTATAGATGAGGAAACTGAGACTCAAAGCATTTGTCCAGGATTTGACAGCTACTAAAGAATTAGAACCAGAACTGGAACCCATATTTTCTATGGAGAAAAATCCTTCTGGGGGCTGTAGGATC